TAAATAATGTTCTATTATATTTCCTTAGGCCAATAATGTATGTTTTTACATTTTTCAAATGAAGTAATTTATGTGTACATTAAATTGATAGTGTTCCCCTCAAAAGTTGTTATTAAATTCAGTTGTAGATTTGAGGAATATGGATTTCATCAGTTAATTCAGTATTCCCTATGAAGTACATTTCATATTCCTTCAATAAATATAATTCGCGTTTATTATTTGTGACCTGGATTTACCTAAGAGGAATCTTTTTAATGTTTGAATAAAGATAGAATTGTTATTATGTTGTTGTTAAGGGCCCTGAACTTAGGAATGGGACGCATAGAAAATTAAGGAGTATCATTGGTGCCTTCTGTGTTATTTTCATATAGTGTTCATAGGATTAAGGAGAAAATGTTTTCATCATCTAACAAATATTTATTGTCTTCTTGCCATGTTAAGTGCCATGCAGAACTGACCATTAGTATACTGTCTGTCTAGAGTGAAAAATTGTGTAAGCAGTCCCTTACTGTACATGGTAAATGTGATGTGAATGATACAAAGAAAATGCTGTAGTGGAGTTTTACTTCTGAATAGTGACCTAACAAAGTTATTACGGGGGAGATGCAATAAAACCTGGGCCTAGAAGAATGAGTAGAATGTTAATAGCTGACAGCAGTCTGGTGAGAATATCAGAAAATTTTCAAACTAAATTAAAGCTTTATGCTGGAGAGAGATAGGTTGTAAGGTTTGAAAAATAGGTTGTAGCCAGGTAACAGGGCCTTGAATGCCATACTGAGCAGTCCAGGCTATATTCTGAAAATAGTGAGGAATCATTGAAATTTTGCAAGCAGGGAAGTGACATGATCCTATATGTAGTTAAAGGTGATCAGTCTGATAGTGGTATGCAGATTGTACTTTAGGAAGGAGAGCATGGAACAAGAATATGAATAGTTTGAGAGAAAACTTTTAAAATACACTGATTTTGATTATATCTTTTAACAGACCAGAAATTTCAATTGCCTTTTTTTTTTTTTTTTTGGTTTGTTAATTTAAAAAACTATTTTTTCATTTATCTATATAATCCCCCAACTGCAGTTATAAAAACGAATATAATGTTTTTATAATAATGTCTCTCTGAAATGAATGTGTATCTGTGTGTCTGTTATTTTTCTTTGAAATATTAGTGGAATTTATGAGCCATGTCAAACCATTCAAAAAGTATTTGCTAGATGGCCTAAGAAGTCACCTCTGCATTTTCTAGATCAGAGAATTTGGGGGAAGAAGAAACAGCTACTTAATTTGTGTTGAAAATTGCCTATTGGTGGTCTGCCTCCTGGAAGTTGTCTAACCTGCTTAGTAAAGAATTGACTAGGCACAGTAATGACAAAGTTTAAAGTTATGTTATTTTATATGAAAGAAACAAGCCAATATTTCAAATACTTTCTTATAGTTTATAAAAAAATTGGAACTTTTAAAGAAACCTTAAATTAGTAACAGATACAGCAAATTTTAATAGTTAACTATCTTAGTACTTGTTTTTGTTTATTATTGCTAAAGAATTTAAAGGAAAAATATGATATTTCATATATATAACCAGACTATATAGTTAATACTCAAAGTAGGATAAATTTGTGCTAACAAGTCAACAAACTTTAAGGAAGTTTGATCTTGTCACTCTTCTGCTTAGCTTCACTCATTGGCTTCAAGATAAACCCTTAGTTAAGTCTTTTAGAGTGTTTTGACCTTATTTCTTCAGCCTGATCAAGTGCTACTCATGCCCTTACTTTTCAGTTCCTCTGTAGTCATGCTGGACTTCCTGAAACTCCTTGCTTGCTTCTTCCTGGAGACTTTGCACATGCTGTCCCTCTGTCTGGAATACTCTTGCACCTCCCTTTGGTTGGCTAATTCCTACTTGATCTTTTTATTTCAGTTTAAATATCAGTTCATCAGAAAGCCTCTCACACTGGATTATACCCTCTCAGAGCATCCTATACTTTTACAGCAGTTTCTACATTTCAATTTGATTAATGTCGGTTTTCCTCATGAAGTTCCTTGAAAGGAGCAGTGATTTTGGTACACATTTATTTCCCCTGTACTTACACAAGGCTGTTGTACACATAGGAGGTACCTCGTATACATAGGAGATTTCTACTTTCTTGTTGCTGCTGTTGTTAGTTGCTGTCAAGTTGGCTCTGACTCATGGTGACCTTATGCATAGCAGAATGAAACATTACTCGTTCCGGTGCTATCTTCAGACCCCTGGTAGTGCAGTGGTTAAGAGCTCAGGCTGCTAACCAAAAGGTTGGCAGTTCGAATCCACCAGCTGCTCCTTGGAAACCCTATGGGGCAGTTCTGTTGTATCCTATAGGGTCTCTATGAGTCTAGAATATGCATAATTTGGAAGACAGCTACCTGGCCATTTGACTGGAAGAGATCCATATTTATGCCTATTCCCAAGAAAGGTGATCCAACTGAATGCAGAAATTATTGAACAATATTATTAATATCACATGCAAGTAAAATTTTGCTGAAGATCATTCAAAAGCAGCTGCGGCAGTATATTGACAGGGAACTGCCAGAAATTCAAGCCAGATTCAGAAGAGGACGTGGAACCAGGGATATCATAGCTGATGTTAGATGGGTTCTGGCTGAAAGCAGAGAATACCAGAAAGATGTTTACATGTGTTTTATTGACTATGCTAAGGCATTCGACCGTGTGGATCATAACAAATTGTGGATAACATTGCGAAGAATGGGAAGTCCAGAACACTTAATTGTGCTCATGAGGAACCTGTACATAGATCAAGAAGAGGCAGTCGTTCTGACAGAACAAGGGGATACTGCATGGTTTAAAGTCAGGAAAGGTGCATCAGGGTTGTGTCCTTTCACCATACCTATTCAGTCTGTATGCTGAGCAAATAATCTGAGAAGCTGGACTATATTAAGAAGCACATGGCATTAGGATTGGAGGAAGACTCATTAACAACCTGTGATATGCAGATGACACAACCTTGCTTGCTGAAAGTGAAGAGGACTTGAAGCACTTACTGATGAAGATCAAAGACCACAGCCGTCAATATGGATTACACGTCAACATAAAGAAAACAAAAATCCTAACATGATAACAAAGAACAGATTGAAGTTGTCAAGGATTTCATTTTATTTGGATCCGCAATCAACACTCATAGAAGCAGCAGTCAAGAAATCAAACAACATATTGCACTGGGCAAATCTGCTGCAAAAGACCTCTCTTTAAGGTGTTGAAAAGCAAAGATGTCACCTTTAAGACTAAGGTGTGCCTAACCCAAGCTGTGGTGTTTTCGGTTGCCTCATATGTATGCAAAAGCTGGACAGTGAATAAGGAAAACTGAAGAAGAATTGATGCCTTTGAATTGTGGTGTTGGCGAAGAATATTGAATATACTGTGGACTACCAAAAGAACGAACAAATCTGTCTTGGAAGAAGTACAACCAGAATGCTCCTTAGAAGCAAGGGTAGCAAGACTACCTTACATACTTTGGACATGTTACCAGGAGGGATCAGTCTGTGCAGAAGGACATCATGCTCGGTAGAATAGAGGGTCAGCAAAAAAAAGGAAGACCTTCAATGAGATGGATTGACACAATAGCTGCAACATTGGGCTCAAGCATAGCAAGGATTGTGGGGATGGCGCAGGACTAGGCAGTGTTTCGTTCTGTTGTACATAGGGTCACTATGAGTGGAACCAACTAGAGGGCACCTAACAACAACAACAACAGAATATGCATATTCTATGCATATTCTATGAATCAGCATAGAGTATCCATATTTTACATGTTAATAGACTTTGCTAAATTACCCTTGAAATAGGCTATATTGCTTTCTACTGTGTACAGGAGGGCCCATTTCCCCAAAATCTCACATAATTAAATGATACCAATATTTACAATTTTTCCTGAAAACTTTTCTCATTTTTTTAAATTTTTAATTATTTTTAGTGAGCTGACCTATTTTTTCAGATATTTATTGGCCAATTGTGTTTCTTTTGTGTCTTGCCCATTTTTTATATTGATTTGTGAGGGCTCTTCATATATTAAGAATACTGATTCTATCATATAAATTATAATTTTTTTTTTATAACTTTGTCTGTATTCCATATGGTTTCCCTGACTCTGATTTTATATCCCTTAAAAACATTGTCTACCTTACTGTCAGATGTTCTTTTGAAAATACTGGTCTTTGGTTCCCCATGTTCTCTCTTGCTTCCCAGCCTTTGAACATGCTATTTCTTCTGCCTAGAACAACGGTTCCAATTAATATTATAGAATATTGTGATTCCTTTGGAGACTACTGGTTCTAAAGTTTCCCCTCCTTAATTCCTTTTTGTCTTTCCTACTCATTAAATTGCTCATTTAATTATCTCATCACCAAACTGTAATCTCTGTCAAAGACTTCCATGCCTTCTGTACCAATATGGATTATGGGATCCTTACACCTATAGTGCCTGGCCCATAGTGTGTGCTTAATAAATAAATGTTGGATGAACAATTCATTGTATTGCTTTAGAATACTCTCCTATTGGAAAGGAGGAGATACTTTGTGACATTTTTACATTTTCTGCTCCCTCTAGTTTCTTCAGTGTGTTTTAAATAATGAGATAATTAATAGATCTTTGGGTTAGCAACATAGAGGAACACAAGTCTGTTCTTTTCAAATAATTTATAGAGGATCACAAAGCTTGTCTGATCCTGTGTAACTTTTTTATTATAATGCTTATTCATCTCTGTGTACCAAGTAGGCAGCTGATAAGAGAGTAAATTTAGAAAGTAATAAAAAGTGTGACAGTATAGGTATAGCTATTTAATGACTGAATTTTTGCTTGCATTCTTAGTGATTTTTATTCAGTGAAAGGGGCTGTATGTATATGGTAAGTAATTTGCATTGAAATTCAACTTGTGAAAATATATATAATACCTAGTGTATTCTTCTCATTTGAAATGTCTGGTCCATAGAAATTATTTGTCTTACTGTTTTTATAGGAGGTTCATAAAGTGAATGAAAGCATCAAGTATAACCACCCATTGAGAAAATGTGTTGATACAATACTTAAAAAGGTAATTAGATCATATTATCTCATCTGTTTTCTTTTTAAATATAAATTTATATAATATTATAATAAAAGTATCAGAAAAGTATGAGAACGGTCTATAGCTGAGGTCTTCCTAACTTCTTTCCATTTTCATGGAAATCTTAACCATAAACTAGTAATTATTTGTATACACAATATGTTCTTTTGTTGTTACAAGTTTAACATTAATTATTGACAGTATTTTCCATTGAAATTTGGAGGTAGAGGTGATGTTGAGTGATGTATAGTGATTGCCATGACACAGTGATGGAGATGGACCTTTACAGTCTATAAAAATATCATTGTACATGGTCACTAAAGGCATCTCTCCCTAGAAGAAAGTAAAGTAGGGCCTCAATAATAATCTCTTTAAATCACCTTCCTACGTGTCATTTTATAATACATTTCATATATCAAAAAATGAATGACGAGATATTTAACATAGATATTTAATAAAAAGCCATAAAATTAAGACTTTGATTCATTGGTGTTGAATTAGGGGCATTCATATACTTCCACAAATAGTTATTCCAAGAGTTCCCCAATAGTCTTTAATGTATCCACAGAACCACTGAAATAATTCTTTTCCTATATTTTAAATCTCTTGTACTTATTGTTAGCTAGTGTTTCTTTCAGCTAAGATGATTGTCATGGGAATCAATTCTCTATAACCATTTCTGTCACATTTGCTACATTTTGAGACTTATTCAAGGAGGTTGAGTAATTTGCACAAGTTTATGTAGATAATAAATGGCTAGTAGTAGGCAAGATGACTCTAAAGCTTGTATTTGTTTTCCAGTACAATTTCTTTAAAAAATTCAGTATGTTGGATATGTCATGAGTCTTCCTCATTACTTAGCTATGAAAACAACAGTTTCATCAGGTGCCTGCTTAGAGTAATCCTCAAATACTAGTTGCCTCATGTAGGTAAGCTCCCCTGCTCCCACCCATTCCAAGCTAGTGTATCTGAGTATAAAGATTAATAACAATAGAGATGAGAAGAAAAGTTTTTTTTATAGCTCAGAACTCAATACATCTTTTAAAACATTTTCAAGAAAACATTGGCATGTAAGTTCAATTATTTAGAGATGCCAAGATTTGTTTTTGAGAAAATTAGAAACACCCATAAATAGATTTTTAATAAAAATTAAATTTTTATCTTTTTGCAAGTAAGGTTTAAAAAAATAATCTAACTATCCTTTTCAGTGCCCTACAGAGTACCAGGAAAAAATGGGTAGGAACATGGATGATTATGAAGATTTTGATGAAAAACATAATACCTATCCAAGTGAAAAAAGTCTAGTAAAACTGCATAAGCAGGTAACTTTATTTATTAATTACAGTTGTCCCTCAGTATTGGTGGGAGATTGGTTCCAGGACCCCTGCGGATACCAAAATCCAGGGATACTCAATTCCCTATATAAAATGGCATAGTATTTGCATATAACCTACGCACATCTTCCTGTATACTTCACATTATCTCTAGCTTACTTATAATACCTAACGCAATGTAAATACTATGTGAATAGTTGTTATGCTGTATTGTTTAGGGAATAATGACAAGAAAAAAAGTTTTTTTTTTTTTTTCTTGAATATTTTCATTCCGTGGTTGGTTGGTTGAATCCGTAGAGGTGGAACCCGAAGATGCGGAGGGCTGACTGTATAGTTATTTATTTACTGATGATTTTAGTTAGATTTTAGTTATTACTCATCAAAAAAGGGATTTTTAGTAATTGTATATCTAAAACGTCCTTCGATGCTGTCCTATCATTCTTTGAAGTGTTTTTGGTCTAACTTAGTGTTTTTGGAGAGGAGCACTGTTGGCATTTTGATTAGCTGCCAAGCTCTTAACCATTACACCACCAGGGCTCCACACTATTGGCATTTTGGGAGGGCGAGCTGCTCACTGAGCAGAATTGTTACATATATTATAGAACATTAACATCCTTGGCTCCACCCAACAAACGCCACTAGCACTTTCCTGTTGTTGCAACAGAAAAAAAAAAAACATGCTCCATGATAGGGAATTGAATCGCTCTTGGATCAAAAAACTGATGGATACACCCCTCTTTTCTCTTTTAGGTGATTTATTCAGTTCAGAGGCACCGTCGAACTCAAGTACAATGGCAAATTCTTTTGGAACAGGCATTTTATCTGGAAGATGTAGCAAAAAATGAAGCCAGTGCAACTCGTCAGTTTGTTCACACTTTTCAGTCACCAGAGCCAGAAAATAGATTTACCCAGTATTTTTATAATCCAACAGTTGGTATGAAAAAGTATATATTTTCACTAATGTAAATTGTATTTGTATTAAGTAACTTTAATTTATACCATGTGGTAATAATACCTATCTGATAAACTTTCCCCCCAGAATAGCTACTTGTCATATAAAACATAATCTATCAGTTTTCACTGTTACTTCACAAATAATTAAAATTTCCTACAAAAATATATGTGCTACATAAAGCATATTTTGTATGGTGTATAATCTACTTAAGATAATTAGGATTTTGAATAATTTTACATTACAAGCTTGGGTGTTTTAACATACTACTAAAATATTACCGTAAGATGTCCTCTTTGATTGTTTTCAATTATTAGTTTATATACAAAACCTACACCCACTAGTCATCGTTTTTTTCTCCCTCATGATTATTTATTATACTCTTTTCAAATGTTATCAAATTTAGTAAAAATTTACTAAAAATACCAGACTATCACTGTACTAAAATTTCTCTTTGCCTTAATTATTCAAACAAATAGTTATATTCACTTGATTCTCTTTTGCATGTTTGGTCTTGAGTATGAAGACTTAATGGCCAAAACATATCTCAGATAAATTTTTCAACAAAGATCCCTTCACATTAAATTAAGGAATGGTGTGATGCCTGTTTTCATTCATTGAACATATGTTTAAGCATATATATGCTGTGTATTGTTGGGTACTTGGTATCAGTGAGCAAAACAGGTAGAAATTCCTGCCTTGCGGAGTGATAAACACAAAAAGGTATGAATAAAGATGCTGAGTAGGTAGTTGACTATAGAAATTAGAGTTCAAAGGAGAATTCTGGGCTAGAGATAGAAATTAGGGTCATCAGTGTATAGTTGAGCCATGGGTCAGGATAAAATTAGTAAAGAAATGATTGGGATAGAGAAAAGCAAGTGTCTGAGGACTAATCCCTGAGGCACTCCAGAAAAGAGGCACTGTAGAGATCAGGTTGACGAGCAAAAAAGACTAAAAAGGAGCGGCCAGTGAAACAGGAGGAAAATGAAGACAGTGAAGTATTTTGAGGGGAAGGATGTGTACAGTACCTTTTCAAATGTTGCACATAGGTCAAGGATCATGAATACTAAGATTCGGTCATTGGATTTCAGAAATGTGAGGCAGGAATTGCTGGGACAGTGTTCATGAGTAGGAGAGATGAGATGCGAAATAGTGAACAAATGAAAAGAATAGCCTTAGACAGAAGGTATGACACAGATGTAGCTAAGCAGGTGAGATGATGTGTGTTAGGAACTTGGGGAAGTTCTCTTCTGACTGCTTCTGTTTTCTCTGTGAAATGCTGAGTAACATAGGGGTAGAGATTTTCAAGATTTTAGGAGAGAAGTTACAATATAGTTGCCTAGTAGAGTGGGCATGAGAGATTAGGGAATTATAATAAACTAACCAGGCAGTTCTAGGGGCTGACTTTAAGCTGGTGATTATGACTTTAAAGTAAGACCAGTCAGCAAAGTTGATTGTCTTTCTCCTGCAATGTGCAGCTGTGTGGGTGCAGGCACAGGGAGTTGGATCTAACCAGAAATTGGGAAATTAGAGAGTGATTATCATCAAAGACTGTGGAATCTAAACTGGGTAAGGAAGGACATGAGGATATTAGGGAACATTAAAAAGGCAGTAGAATAAATGGATTGTTGATCCAGGTGGAGTCAGTCAGTGAAGTTGGTATACTAGATGGAGGTATTATTTGGAGAAAGAGATGCTGGAAATTGAGGTTCTGTGGAAGTGTTGGAGTTGTTGACAATAAAAGGTTTAGGGATAACTATGGGAATGAGTAATTGAGGTAGGGTGGAGGACAAGATTATTAGAGGAGCGATCAAGGAATTGAGAGACCAAGATATTGAAAGGAGGATCACCTATGTGAATACTGAAATTACCAGAGATTAGACTGAGAGTAGTGTTGAAAAGACAGTAAACCAGGAGCTCAAATCTCCAATGGATCGAGTGAAAATACAGCCTTTTCAATTTTATGAGCTTCTTTTTTTTTTGAAACTTTTATTTTTATCTAAATTCAGACTGAACAAAAGAAGTTGCAAGAATATTATAGACAATTCCTAGATACCTTTCACCCAGATTCCCCAAATTACATTTTATCAAATTCATTTGCTTTATATTTTTCTCTGTCTATATTTTTACCTGAATCTTTTGAGAATCCAATCCAGACATGATTCCTCTTTACCCCTAAGTGCTTCAGTGTGTATTTTTAAAAAATAAAGACATTCTCTTTCAAAACCAAGTATAATTATCAAAATCAGTAAATTAACACTGATACAATACTATATATAATCTATTGAGCTTATTTAGATTTTGAAAATAATCCCAATAATATCCTTGATAAAAAATCCCAGATCACGCATTGCATTCAGTTGTCATGTCCCCATTAGTGTCCTTTAATCTAGAACAGTTTCTCATCATAGAAAACCCAATGCCATCAAATTGATTCCAAATCACAGAATAGAGTAAAACTGCCCTATACTTTCCAAGGCTATAAATCTTTATGGAAGCAGACTGCCACATCTTTCTCCTACAGAGCGGTTGGTGGGTTCTAGCCACCGACCTTGCAGTTAGCAACCAAGTGTCCCTGAATTTGACTTCAATGTTTCCATGTGATTAGATTGATTACTGTTCTGCAGGAATACCACAGCAGTGGTGGTGTGTTCTCAGTACATCATAGCAGGAGACACAGGATGTCGGTTTGTCCCACTACTGGTGATCATTTGGCTAGGGTGGTGTCCGCCAGGTTCCTCCACTGTAAAATTACTATTTTTCTTTGTTATTAAGTATATTGTAGGGAAACATTTATTCTTTCATGAGTTTTTCTAATCTTTTTTTTCTTTTTCTTTTTCCAGAATGGTACTGGGAATGCCTTTTACGACCCTGGTTTTACAGGATACTTGCTGTGGTTTTGTCTGTCTTCTCTGTGATTGTTGTGTGGTCAGAGTGCACATTCTTTAGCACTAGACCTGTCCTATCCCTCTTTGCAGTCTTCATACAGCTGGCAGAAAAAACATACAATTATATTTATATCGAGGTCAGTTTAGTATATATTTGTCATAAGTATGTGTCAGTTCATAGTTAATCCTTAACTATTGTAGCTTTTTTCTATATATTTATTCTACTAATAATTAAAACAGTGAAGTTAAAAGTGTTATTATTCAGACTTCTAAAAATGAGTTTCATCAGTTTACCTAGACTATAAAAACTGAGAACTGTATTTTAGGAGAGCTGAAAAAGTGCAAAATAGTGCAGAATTTTCTTGTATGAATACTTTGATCCTCTTTATGCCAGTGAAGCTACGTAACTTATAGTCTTGACGTGAGGCGTTCCCAAGGGAATTGGAAAACAGGCTCACTTCAGGAGGTGGATTTGAAATTTACGGATCTAGGATGTTGAACTGTTTTAAATGTGGATATTTTTCATAATTTCATTTACTTAGATGCTAAAAAAAATGTTTTTGTGTTTAAATTTTAGAACCTCAATAAGTTAGCTGGGAATGAAGGAAATGCTGTGATAATATATAAAGGACTAGGTTAAAGTCCAGTAGTCTTAAACAAACTTGTTTTTTTGTTGTTGGTGTTTTGTTTTGTTTTTTCAGATTGCTTGCTTCTTTTCCATCTTCTTCCTAAGTATCTGTGTTTATTCTACTGTGTTCAGGATCCGTGTATTTAACTATTATTACTTGGCTTCACATCACCAGACTGATGCTTACAGCCTTCTTTTCAGTGGCATGTAAGTAAGATTGTGTTTAGAAACAAGAGAATTGTCTCCATTATATGTATTCTTATAGATTTCTCTTTTATTTCTTGTTGTTTATGGGTGTTCTACTAATAGCTGTATTTCTGTGAGCTGTTGATTCCCTGGGTGGCACCAGTGATAAGTACTCGAGTACTAGCCAAAAATTTGGTGGTTCATACCTACCCAGAGGTGCCGTGGAAGAAGGCCTGGCAATCTGCTTCTGAAACGTCACAGCCTTGAAAACTCTATGGAGCAATTCTACTCTGCACACGTAGGGTTGCCGTGAGTCGGAATTGACTTGACCGCAACTGACAACAACACAACATTAATTAGATTTAAGTACTAAATAGATGTTCATTGATTGCCAGCTAAATACTGCTTGAAGTTTAAGGTTAAAATAGGCATGCTGGGTTAGGAAAGAGAAGAAAGACATGGTAAGACTGAATTTACCCTTGTCTTAGTCATTTAGTGCTGTTGTAACAGAAATACTACAAGTGGATGGCTTTAACAAAGAGAAGTTTATTCTCTGACAGTGCAGTAGGCTAGAAGTCTGAATTCAGGGCGTCGGTTCTGGAGGAATGTCCTTGTCATCAGTCTTCCCTTGGTCTGGGAGCATCTCAGCACAGGAACCTCAGGTCCAAAGGATGTGCTCTGTTCCCAGCACTGCTTTCTTGGTGGTATGAGGTCTCCATGTCTCTCTGCTCGCCTCTCTCTTTTATATCGCAAAAGAGATTGGCTTAAGACACTATCTAATCTTTTAGATCCATCAATATAACTGTTACTAATTTATCTTACTGCATCATAGTGATAGGATTTACAATACATAGGGAAATCACATCAGATGACAAAATGGTAGACAATCAAACAATACTGGGACTCATGATCTAGCCAAGTAGACAGATATTTTGGGGGGACATAATTCAATCCATGACAACCCATAAGAGATTCAATAATAAATTAGTAAATAATAGGAACAATTGAGAATTTAGGGACTAAATTAGATGTAGAGAATGTTCTAAGATTCAATGGCATGAAACTAGATGGATGAGGACTAACAAAACAACAGGAACAGTTTTCCTAAGGGATTAAGAGAGTTCAGAGAGATGGCTCCAGCTTGGACTAGGTTGCACAACTTTTCCTGATTGTTACAACAGTCGTAGTAGGTATTTATGAAGGCTAGACTTAGTGAAGTTCACAAAGGAATTGATATCTGAAGCATCTCTAAAATACTTTCTTTTTTAAAAAAACTTTTTCTTTTTTTTTTTTCAAAACTATAGGCTTACAGGAAGTTGCAAAAATAGTACAAAGAGTCCCATGTACCCTTCACCCAGCACCCCCCAATGGTGACATCTTATATAGCTGTTGTACAATATCAAAACCAGGAAATTGACTTTGGTACATTGCTGTTAACTAGACCACAGACCTTGTTCAGTTTTCACCATTTTTTAGCCTTCATTCGTTTGTGTGTATGTGTGTGCATGTGTGTAGATTCCTGTAACCACTGCCACAATCACTATACCAGTATTCCAGTCGCTATAAAGAACTCCCTTTGTCTTTGCATTCACTCCACGCTATCCCCTCCCTCGATTCTCCATCCCTGTAGTTTTGTAAGGTTCTTTTTTATCTGGATAAAACTGACCTCTAGCAGTTCTTTATCCCTGCACTTGTCAGACTGACATGTTTTGATACAGCTTCAGATGTTTTATGTACTGAGTAGAATTCACCTTGAGGATGTCGCTGTTCTGGCCTTGCTGCTGAGATGGATTGCACAGATAGTAGAATTGAAGGAGGTGCATGTGAAGGCATTCCACAAATTCTTGGGATACCAAAAATCTGTTGCCATCCAGTTGATTCCAGCTCATAATACAGCAGGGGCAAATACTACCAAAGCAGGCAGCCTGAGACTGGAGTTTTGCCATGTTGATGTGTTTGTAAGGGGGATGTAGTTAATTGGATTTTCAAAATGTCTTCCAAGTAAATAAGGGAAATTCACATTCAGAATTCAGAATATATAAAATGCAAATAGATAAAACTAATATAGTAGTTGTAACGATGGGCTCAAGCATAGCAATGATTGTGAGGATGGTGCAGGACTGGGCAGTGTTGTGTTCTATTGTACATGGGGCACTATGAGTTAGAACCAACTCAAAGGTCCCTAACAACAACAATACAATAGTTAGAATGATCTGAAATATTCCTAATACATTTTTATATAGCATGAAATATATTTTGCTGCTTTTTTAAAAACATATATTCTGTTTTAAAATCCTTATTGCAGGTTATTTTGCCGTTTAACTCCTCCTTTATGTCTTAATTTTTTGGGTTTGACCCATATGGATTCATCCATCTCTCACCAGAATACTCAGCCAACTGCTTATACATCTGTAAGTATGGTCAGAAAACAGAGTTCTTTAGATTCATCATCTAATTGAGATATTGTTATTGTGAAATTTCTTTTAATGCTGGCAGAAAAATTCTGTAGCATTATTTGGATTCTTTTTCTCAATAACTGAACTTTCTCTTAAAGGTTGTGTATGACTTACTAATAACTAGATAAAAGTCATTGTATTTTCTTTTATTATAAATTTTTTATTCACATAGATTGTCTAGCTGAGAAGTATTAACAGAGATGACCTGTTATATTTATTAGTCTTAATGCGTATGATAATTTTCAGTAATATTTATAAAATATTAATTTTCTTTAGCAAAAACCTTAATAAGAAGCAAGTTTTTTTTTTAAAAAGTCCATTTAGTGCTTTGTTTGTACTTTTTGAAAAGTCCAAATTTATTGATATAATTGGCTTTTGGCAAATTTCCTAATAATGAAAAGGAATAAAAAATACAGAATTGTGCTAATTTAATTTACTTTTTTCTTGCTCTTCAGATTATGGGTTCCATGAAAGTTTTATCCTTTATTGCAGATGGCTTCTATATATATTATCCTATGTTGGTGGTAATTCTCTGCATTGCTACTTATTTTAGGTAAGAAACAACATTGATTACTCTTCCTCATATTCTTACCCTAATCTGAATATCCTTTCTCCTTAAAGCTCTGTTAAATATTCACTGGTTGGTTTTGGTTGTCATCTGTTTTATCGTAACTGTGGGAGAAGCTGGGAATAATTTGAAGAGATTGCTTGAGTTAACCAGGTCAGGCTCTTCCTCTGAGGATATTTTAAGGAAAAGAGAGGTAGAGTATTTAGGCTACAAAGTAATAGAGTTAATTCAAGAATGTTAACTCTAAATCCTGGCTTTGACATTGACAGTCAATGTAGCTTGTAAAGCACCCCCGTGCACAGCTTCTATCCGATAATATAAGTTTGTCTTAGGGCTTTCCCCACAAGCATTTCTGGGTTTCTAGATGTTTCAGACCATAGTCAGCGCAAAGGGTCAAGTGAGGAACAATTGTAGTCAGGCAGTACATAGAGACTGGAAGAGAATTTCCCCCTAATTTTGGAACATAAATGGCCTGCTGTTATTAATGGGATAAGAAAAGTGGTGGAATTTTGGCAGGGGTAAAATTCAGAAGGAGCTAAATGACAAGTGTGCTTGGCTCCTAGTACCCTATCTTCCTTACTTCCTTCCCTGTGTTGGGTGTCCTCATCCTGTTCTGTTTGTCTGCATCTTTCACTGTTTAAGTGCTCTAGAAAAACCCAAAAACCCACTGCTGTCGAGTCAAATCTGATTTATAGTGACCCTATAGGTCAGAGCGGAACTGCCCCATAGGTTTTAAGGTTTTTTGCTAAAGAAAAATATTTTATCAATATTACTGAAAGGAGTTTCCAAGGAGCAGCTGGTGGATTCGAACTGCTGCCCTCTCGGTTAGTTAACTAATAGAATAAACATGACCATACACCTTTGTTTAGCTCACCCAAAGGTAGGCAGTTCAAATCCACCAACTGCTTCTTGGAAACCCTATGGGGCAGTTCTGCTCTGTCCTACAGGTCGCTATGAGTCAGATTTGACTCGACGGCAACAGGTTAATCTTTATGGAAGCAGATCACCACATCTTTCTCTCACAGAGCTGGTGGGTTCGAACCACCAACCTTTATGTTAGCAGCCAAGCATTTAACTACTACACCACCAGAGCTCCTGAGTGCTTTAGGATACACCAAAAATACCATTTTTTTCAAAGCAAGTCATTGATGTTAATCAGCTTGCTTTTTTAACTAAAATTTAAGTCTCATCCAACTAGTTTTCATTTAACTCTTCCAATACCATTACACAGTTATTACAAATAATATGCATATACTGATATTAGGGTATTGAGTAAACAGGCAGATATTGTTTGAAATATATTACTGAACTTAAAAGAATTTATATTTTACCTTCTAATAAGTAAAATAGCTCAAGGATTACAGTTTAAAATAAGCTGTAATATGAACTTATAGCAAATCTAATATTGAGTCTTTTTAAGATAGAAAGGGCAATAGATCTACACTGTGAATATGATATATTAAAGGAAGAGACTAATTATACTTTGTATGTCCAAAGCTAAGTTTTGATTATATGCTTATTCATTTTAAAATTTTACAAAACTGTTAAATTATAAGAGCTTGTAACATATAAAGTGTGCCTTCTCATGTTAGTAGTTATGGCGGCAAGATTAGCATCCTTCTTTACCTTACTAGATTATATGGATCAAGTGATTATGAGGTGGGATAATGCTGTATCAACTATAAAGCCTTAAACAAATATAAGGAATTATTATATCTTAAAGGAAGTTTTTTAAACTTAAAAATAATCATTAAAAATATAATTCTAGAGTTAATTAGGATAAACTTTGAGGGCCATTTTGTCTTTAAGAAAAATAAGGTCCGTATTCCTGAATTTTCAAATTATCTTGCAAAATAGATTTTCTGTTATAGAAATACAAAGCAATGCCTTACTGACATTTCAAGGGTAACTTGACTTTATAGGTTCATTTTCATTTGAAATGCTATTATAATCAGTCTAACTAATTCCTGTATTGTTAGCAACACAGCCATACCCAGAGCTTATATTCAGACTTGCCTGTCTAGAAAGCATAAGGCTATTTTGTAAGACTTTAGACAAAGCGAAAACCTTCCCAGAGACAGTGATCTAGTTCTGGGCTTATACGGAGATACAATATTCCCACAAGGATATGAAGGTAGTAAGGGACTGTTTAAACTAATGGAAGAAACACGACCATCCACCTGAAAACCCTAAATTTACACAATGGTAATACACGTAAAACATTCCTTTTATGTTACAACAAGCAAATTATTATGAATTATCCAGATCCTTACACATTTTAATGTAAAACGGGAGACCTTCACTTTCTTTTAGCTGCCCCATAATTTCCATTCCCCCAACACACTCACGTAAATACTCACTCACGAACTCTCTCACTCATTTTCTCTTTCTCTCTCTCTGTCTCTATGTATGTATGTATGTATGTATGTGTTCAGGCTTCCTGCCATTAGAAGTTCATCAGTGAAAAAGTTTGAGAACTAATGTAATAAAAAGATCTAGTCTTTGTTTCATCTTGAATTTAAATACCAGCTGTATAATTTATTGAGTGGCGTTTAGCAAAGTATTTAACCTTTTAGGCTTCTGTCACCTTATCTGTAAAATGATACTTAGTTCTTAGAGTTGTAGTAAGAATGAAATAAGAGAGTATCTGTAAGTTGTCTAACGCGTGGTAGGATCTTAACAAATATTAATCCTGCCTACCCATCCTTCGCTTCCTTCCTCATGTGCCATATTTTCAGAGTGTGTAATAACAGTCATTTAAGTAGAATTGACTAACTCATGGGAGAAAACAAACAACAAAAAAAAAACCATGAAAATAAATTTGCATGGGACTTTATAATTAGAATATTTTATAGTTGGAAATACTGGTTGTGTATGTGTGTTTGTGGTATTAAAACTAGTATTTAAATATAAGAAAGGAATAAATTGGTCTTGTATTATAGCCATTATTTATCATCCTGGTATAATAATTTTCTGAAGGTATGCTAATTACTTGATTTAATTTGCTTCCATAAGAAACCTAGGGATAGTGCATATCCTAGTCAGTGGAGTATTAAGCATAAGTTTCTTGGAAATGTAAATAAGTACTTTTGAAGAAAGGCAGAAACACAGGCTTCTTTGGGAATCATAATACTAAAGAACAGTTTGTCTAAGCATTTCCAACGTGAAATAATGCTTGTCTTTTTGGAAATCCATTGTTACTAGCTTGGGAACCCGTTGTTTGAATCTGCTTGGTTTCCAGCAGTTCATGGGAGATAATGATATGACATCTGACTTAGTTGATGAAGGAAAAGAATTAATCAGACGAGGTAAGATTTGTCTTTTAAAATAAATGAAGGGATAATGCTAAGAGTCAAAATATAAAATTAATGTTCGTAAAATTTTTAAAGTTTTTAATCTAAAGAAATTATAAATTAATGCAGTTTTTTTATCTTAAAATCTACATATAGCCTTCTTAGCAAAAATAATTTGAAAACATAATCATTTCATCTGTCTTTAAGAAATTCTACAATATAAATTATTACTATGTCTACAACTTGATAAGGTCTTAGAGTCATTTTTGTGTTTGCCCTGAAATGTATTTGCTAAGTTCCATACAGCCATAAAGCTCACTAATATAAGGCATCATCAGCCTAAAATTGCATGACAAATCATTCAAGCCAATGCTGTTTTCTTAGAATGTGATGATCATTAACAGTTTGTTCAAATACATAGCCCTCTATTAGATTCTAATCGCAGAATCGAGTGTATTAAATTTAATGATATTGAAGTGATCGTAGAATAGGAAAAAGAAAAAATTTAAGATTTGGGACATTGGTTCTTTGCCATTCTCCCTTCCTGCTTCTGGGGCCTTTGTATGATCATCAGTTGAATGTAAGTCAAAAAATGTATTGCAGCTCCAAAATAAGCCAGAGTGGCCTTTATGTGCTTTTATAGGAGTGAGGTGTCTAGTTGACATACTATTTCTACTGCTTTTTACGTTAATCAGACCTCATATGAAGTATCAGATCAAGTCACTGTTGGGTAAGATTTTCAAGAGTAAGATTGACAAATCAGGAAGTATTTAGAGGAAAACAGCCAGAATTATGAGTCTGTAGAACCTATCCTATGAATAAAACCACTGAAGGAACTTAGTATACAGCCCAAAGAAAGAAGAAAGGTATGAACTTAATTTAGAAGATAGGACTAAAAGAAAAGACAGAAGTTACAGAGAAACAAATTTCAGGTCACCACAAGAAAGAACTTTTCCCTTCACCAAAACTATTTAGGCAGAGGTTAGATGGCCATCTCCAACAAAAATAGTGAAGGCATTCCCTATAGAGTCCTTGCCAACAATAACCTATTATATTTGACTTTATAGTAATTTAAAATTGGTCATATCCTGATACATTCATTAACTTCAGTTACTATACTTCTAATTAAACCATGTTGTTCCAAATTTGAGACTACTTTTCTGTCTCTAGAGAAGAGAAAAAGGCAAAGGCAAGAAGAAGGTGAAAATCGAAGAAGAGTAAGTACCGTACTTATGAAATTGCTCTAGACTAAAGATTAACGTGAAATAATCATAAAAATTGTACTGATTTGGAATAATTGGTTAAGGATCAAAGACAGTAGGAAAATGACATAGAATATGTTTTTTAAAAAAGATAGTTTTAGTATTTTCAGATAGACATGTTAGAGGTTCTATAAGACTTGTTCTAAATAGTCATTGTGTTGTTATTGTTAGGTGCCATTGAGTCGGTTCTGACTCATAGCAACCTTATGTATAATAGAATGAAACACTGTCCGGTTCTGTGCCGTCCTCACATTCGTTGTTATGCTTGAGCCCATTGTTGCAGCCATTGTGTCAGTCCATCTCATTGAAGGTCTTCCTCTTTTTCGCTGACCCTCTACTTTACCAAGCATGATGTCTTTCTCCAGGGGCTGAACCTTCCTGATAATATGTCCAAAGTATATGAGACGTAGTCTCTCCATCCTTGCTTCTAAAGAGCATTCTGGTTTGTACTTCTTCCAAGACAGATGTGTTCATTCTTTTGGCAGTTCATGGTAAATTTAATCTTCTTCACCAACACCATAATTCAAAGGCGTCAATTCTTCTTTTGTCCTCCATATTCAATGTCCAGCTTTCGCATGCATATGAGATGATAGAAAATACCATGGCTTGGGTCAAACATACCTTTGTCATCAAAATGACATCTTTGTTTTTTAACACTTTAAAGAGTTCTTTTGCGCAGATTTTCCCAATGTAGTACATCGTTTGACTTCTTGACTGCTGCTTCCATGGGCGTTGATTGTGGATCGAAGTAAAATGGAATCCTTGACAACTTCAGTAGTTTCTCCATTTATCATGTTGTTGCTTATTGTTCCAGCTGTGAGGATTTTTGTTTTCTTTATGTTGAGGTGTAATCCATACTGAAGGCTGTAGTCTTTGTTCTTCATCAGTAAGTGCTTCAAGTCCTCTTCACTTTTAGCAAGTAAGGTTGTGTCATCTGCATATCACAGGTTGTTAATGTGTCTTCCTCCAATCTTGATTCCAAGTTTTTCTTTATATAGTCCAGCTTCTCGGATTATTTGTTCAGCATACAGATTGAATAAGTTTGGTGAAAGGATAAACCTTGATGCACACCTTTCCTGACTTTAAACCATGCAGTATCCCCTTGTTCTGTTTGAATGACTGCCTCTTGATCTATGTACAGATTCCACATGAGCACAATTAAGTGTTCTGGAATTCCCATTCTTTGCAATGTTATCCATAATTTGTTATGATCCACACAGTTGAATGCCTTTGCATAGTCAATAAAACATAGGTAAACGTCTTTCTGGTATTCTCTGCTTTCAGCCAAGATCCATCTGACATCAGCAGTGGTATCTCTCGTTCCCCATCCTCTTCTGAATCCTACTTGAACTTTTGGCAGTTCTCCTGTCAATGTACTGCTGCACCCACTTTTAAGTGATCTTCAGCAAGATTTTACTTGTATGTAATATTAATGATATTATTCGACAATTTATGCATTCTATTTGATCATCTTTCTTTGGAAGATCTGAAAGGACTCAACAGTGGGCTTAAAATATTCAGTAAACCTGTTGTAAACAAATGTGCTGTCATCCAGGCTTTGTTGTTCCATTTATAGAGCACAGGCAGAGTAGGTTTAGTATAATTCTTAAGGGCCCTATGATTTTCAGAATGATAAATGAGCATTTGCTTCAACTTAAAGTCACTAGCTGCGCAATAGCCCCTAACAAGAGAATCAGCCTGTGCTTTGAAGCTTTGAATCCAGGTATTGACTTCTCCTCTCTAGCTATGAAAGTCCTAGATGGCATCTTCTTCCAATATAAGGCTGTTTCATCTGCATTGAAAATCTGTTGTTTAGTGTAGCCATCTTCAAGAATTATCTTAGCTAGATCTTCTGGATGACTTGCTACAGCTTTCATCAGCACTTGTTGCTTCACCTTGCACTTTTATGTTACGGAGATGGCTTCTTTCCTTAAGCCTCATAAACCAACCTCTGCTAGCTTCAAGCTTTTCTTCTGCAGCTTCCTCACCTCTCTCAGCCTTCACAGAATTGAAGAGAGTTAGGGCCTTGCTCTGGATTAGGCTTTGGTTTAAGAATGTTGTGGCTGGTTTGATCTTCTATCCAGACAACTAAAACTTTCTCCATATCAGCAATAAGGCTGTTTCGCTTTCTTTTCATTGGTGTGTTCACTGGAGTAACACTTTTAATTTCCTTCAACAACTTTGCATTCACAACTTGGCTGTTTAGCACAAGAGGCCTAGTTTTCAGCCTCTCTTAGCTTTCAACCTGCCTTCCTCACTAAGCTTAATCATTTCTAGCTTTTGATTTAAAGTGAGAGATGTATAGCTCTTCCTTTCACTTGAACACTTAGAGGCCATTGTAAGATTATTAATTGGCCTAATTTCAATATTGTCAGGGAATAGGGAGGCCTGAGGAGACAGAGAGAGATGAGGGAACAGCCAGTTGGTAGAGCAGTTGGAACATACACAATATTAAGTTCACAGTCTTATGTGGGTGCTGTTAGTGGCACCCCAAAACAATTACAATAGTAACATCAAAGATCACTGATCACAGATCACCATAACAGATATGATAATAATGAAAATGTGTGAAATATTGGGAGAATTACCAAGATGTGATAGAGGATATGAATTGAGCACATGCTGTTGGAAAAATGATGCTGATAGACTTGCTTGATGCAGGGTTGCCACAAACCTTCAATTTGGAAAAAACACAGTATTTGCGAAGCTCAATAAAATGAGGTGTGCATGTTTGTCAGTCTGTTGATAGTGGTGTGTTATTTTCTGCTTACAGGATTTTTTTGTGTGTGTGTTTTGTTTTGTTTGGTTGTTATTAAATATTCATGTGTGTTTCTTTCCTAGGAATGGAAAGAACGTTATGGACACAGTAGAGAAGATTCCACTAGAAACAGAAGTGTTCATACTGACCCAAAAGAGTCAAACTTCTCAGATATTAGTACCAACCGGTGTAAGTAATTTATTTTCTAGTTCTCTTAGAATTTTTTTTATAATTGCTTGTATAAAGGCTGAGAACTAGGATAAAAACCATTGCCATCAAGTCAATTCCAACTCATAGCAACCCTATAGAACAGAGTAGAACTACCTCATAGGGTTTCCAAGGCTATAATCTTTAAGGAAGCAGACTGTCATATCTTTCTCCTGCGGAGCGGTGGTGGGTTCAAACCACTGACCTTTCTGTTAGCAGCTGAGCACTTTAACCACCAGGGCTCCTCAAGAATTAGGATGCCCATTCAGAAATGCCTTTGTAGAACTGTACGTGTACTTTTGTGGTGACATTCCTTTCTCACATCCCTCAGTGTATAGAAGGAAGGAGAAACTCAAAGATGCATTCTGGTAGGAGAAGGAAAACTGGGACATCAAGTGATAGTTGTAAGTGTACTAACCTAAATAATATCAGCACTTATCCCAGGTATATTCTAGGCGGATGCTTATTTCTATTGTTTACTCAGATTTTTTTTTTTTTTTTTTACTTTTTAATTAGCAGATATATGATATTCATCCATTTTTATAATAATTTATTGACTTACCACATATGTCAGGCACTTTTCTAGATATACTGCCTCAGGGTGCTCATATCTTAGTGAGGAACTGATACCAGGGATAAGCCATCTGCCACTCGAGGGCGTTAGGAAACCTTCCAAGGTCCCTGGCCTTGCACTGACACTCGGCAGAAGCCACCTCCCACTGGGGATGTGGCAAGGAAACTATTTTCGCCCAGGACGTAAGCACTAAGTAGGAGGCAGAGGTTGTTTGTCTTTGGGGAGATGCAAGATTGCTGAGAGAGCACCATCACAGGCTTGGGTGCACAGGGGCCTGCCTAAGTCTAAGGAAGGAGCAGGAAAACCGAGAACCATCCTCCACTCAGCTACAAGCTTTGCACTGAGTACCAAGCAACGTAAATCTTCTGTTGCGGGAGTGGTAGAAACATGAAGAGACACCTGCCGTCTGTGGCACAGGTGTTCAGGGCCTGCTGAGGTCTGAGAATAGAGCAAAAATACTGAGAGAAATCACCTGGCACTTGAGTCAAGACCTTACTGAGCACAAGACAATGGCAGTATGTCACTGGAGAAGTATGAAGCTTCTGGGGACTTACAGAAACTAAAGCAACAACAGAGCCCAATCCAAGCCCAGCTACAGATTAGATTGACTCAGTCCCTCAACATTAATGGCTAATAGAAGAAACGTATGCATTTTTGCATACAACTATTAATTATCTCAAACTCTACTTTCTTTTACACACAATGTCTGGCATTCAATCAAAATTATAAGATATGCAAGAAAGTAAGAAAATATAAGCCATCATCAGGAGATAAAGCAGTCAACATAACCAGACCTAGAGGTGGCCCAAATGTTGGAGTTATCAGTCAGGGACTTTGTAATAATTGATTAATATATTTAAGGATCTAATGGAAATGTTGGTCAACGTGCATGAACAGATGGGGAGTTTCCCCAAAGAGATAGAAACTATTAAAAAAGAGCCAAATGGAAATATTAGAAATACAAGTAGTCCCCAACTTACGACAGGATTCCCTTCTGATGATTCCATCATAAGTTAGTTCTGACATAAATCGAATACTTCATTTTTTTTTTTAGTTTTCATTATTATTGCCTTTTATTATCAGTATCTTTATAAATCATAACATTGAACATCTGCAAGTGAACATCTGAGAATAATAACATCAGCAAATTACATGCTGCAACATTGTATGTAGTACATATTACTAACAATAAGATGTACAAAAAAAACACAGTTGTAAGTGCAGTAGGTCGTAACTCAAATACATTGTAAGTTGGGGACTACTTGTATTTTAGTCACAGAAACAAACTTTAATGTAATTGGTTATTTGATAATTTATAATGAGAGCCATGACAGAAGAAAGCAGCCAACGCTGAGGAAACTTAGTTCAGGGAATGGAAAAGGAATTCTTCATTGAGAAAGGATTTCTGTAGTAAATCTTTAGCTGAGTATCTGGGAATGAATAGTACTTAGCCAGGTGAAAGATGTTTTAGGCAAAAGGAAGAATGAGTGGAGGACATGGTAACATAAGAGAATCTTTTGGGAAATCCAAGTTTTTCTCTGTGACAAGAGCCTAAAGTATGAAGAGGCTGAAAAGAGGGGAGACTACAGTGATAGTTGGGAAACATATTGTCATATTCAGAAGTTTGGACTTTATCTTGAAGATGAGGTTTCAATCTGGGAAGAAACATGATCAGATATTTATTTTAGTTAAGATGAATTTGATGGCAGTATAAACCATGATTTTCAGGGAAGTGAGACACAGAAACCAGTTAAGAGTCTGTTTTGGTAATGCAGTCAAGAAATGTTGAGGGCCTAAAATAAGGCAGTAATCTTGGAGATGAAAATAAGAGGATTTATTTGAATGAGATTTATGGTAGAATAATAGGAGAGGACTACAAGTTTTACTTAAAGCTAGCAAGTAGAGGGAGGATTCTATAAAGAGATTTGGAAGCTTGCTTACCATGAAGTGCAAGTTTACAGAGTGGAAAGATCTGTATGGGAGAATGGTTAAGAGAAGAGGAGCCACAAAGCCTTAGGAAGGTAAGTTAGAAACAACCTGACATGTGGTAGACAATCAACATTTGCTCAATGAATGAGAGAAAAGATGAATGTGCTTCCATGTAGGGCAGAGTCCCAGGTGACAAAAATGTAAGATATGATAGATACAATTGACTAGCCCCAAGTTTTCAAAAAGAACCATATCATATAAGTTCTTCTGAAGCTATTGGACTGCATAGAACAACAGTGTGAGAATTTAGTTGTTTGTAAAGAAACCTCTGTCCATGTGGAGAAGGCAGAGTTAGTTCCCTACATCTGTGCTAACCAATATGGTAGCCATTAGCCACTTGTGACTATGATCATCTGCAGTGTGGCTGGCATCTCATGTTGAAATGATAATATTTTGGATATATTGGGTTAAATATAATATATTTAAATTAACTTTATCTGTTTATTTTTCATTAATGTAGCTTCTAGAAAAATTAAAATTAAATTATGTGGGTTGCATTTTATTTCTGTTTGACATTGCTGCCCTGGACTCATGCCTCCCAGGTGAAAAGATTCAGGCCTTTCTTGAAAAGCCTGAACTGATTACACCTTAAAGAAAATACTAGCCAAGAAATGAGATTATATGAAAGCTGCAGCAGGCCCCTGGTCTCACTGTGGAACCAACTGAAACTTGATTTGATAATGACCAGTTTCACTATTATGATACCTTAGTTAAATATTAATTCTGATTCATATTAATTAAGTCTTTGCACTGTATCTGCTTCTGAGCTTAGCCTAGATACAAAGCCAGAGAATTTTTTTTTTGTTATTTTCTGTCATTCTATTTATAATTTTAATCTGATCTTTTTAAAACAAGACTTTATTTCTTATAGCAGTTTTAGATTTACAGAAAAATTGCACAGAAAGTACAGAGTTCTCATTTATCTTCTCCCCCTCAAAACAGTTTCCCCTATTAATACCTTAAATTAGGTTGGTACATTTGTGACAGTTGATGAACCAACATTATTAGTACCTTATTAACTGAAGTCCATAGTTTACTAGAGTTCACTCATTATATGATACAATTCTATGGGTTTTGACAAATGCATAATGCCATGCATCCACCATTACAGTATCATACAGAATAGTTTCACTACCTTAAAAATGCCCTGTGCTTCATATATTCATACCTCCTCTCCTTCCCCTCAACTCTTGGAACCACTGACTTTCTATTGTCTCCATGGTTTTATCTTTTCCAGGATGTCATATAGTTGGAATTATAAGTATGTAGCATTTTCAGACTAGCTCTTTAACCTAGCAATATGCATTTAAGTTTCCTCCCTGTCTTTTTGTGACTCGATAGTTCATTTCTTTTTATCACTGAATAATATTCTACTGTATGGATATACCACAGTGTGTTTATCCATTCACCTATTGAAAGACATCTTGGTTGCTTCCCTGTTTTTTGCAGTTATAAATAAAGTTGCTGTAAACATTCATCTGCAGTTGTTTGTGTGGACATAAATTTTTGATTCATTTGGGTAAATACCCAGGAATGTGATTGCTAGATCATATAGTAAGCCTGTTTGGCTTTGTAAGAAACGCTAATTTGTCTTCCAAAGTGGCTGTACCATTTTTCATTCCTACCAGCAGTGAATTAGAGTTCCTGTTACTCCACATTCTTGCCAACATTTGGTGGTGTCAGTGGTTTGGATTTTAGCCATTCTAATAGGTGTTTAAGGTATGTAGTAGTATGTAATTTTTGTTTTAATTTGCAATTCCCTAATGACATGTAATGTACATCTTTTCAGATGCTTATTCACCATCTATATGTCTTCTTTAGTGAGATGTGTGTTCAGATCTTTTGCCAATTTTGTAATTGGATTGTTTATTTTCTTACTGTTGAGTTTTAAGAGTTCTTCGTAATTTTGGATACAAATCCTTTATCAGATACATGTTTTGCAAAGATTTTCTCCCAGTTTGTGGCTTGTCTTTTTAGTCTCTTAATTTTAATCTGATTTTTTTCTGTGAGGCTATAGTATAACTGTAAATTAAAAGACAGTAGGAAAGTGGACATATTCTTCTTCATCTTTTTTTTTTTTTTTCCTTTCTTCCTTTGCACCAGCATCCAGATATACCAGGGCTAATAATAGGACTGAAAGAGACCGAATAGAACTCCTCCAAGATGCAGAACCTTTGGATTTTAATGCAGAAACATTCACTGATGATCCTCTTGAATCTGAATCAGGAAGGTAAGTTCCAGCTGTGTTGTTTTGGCTCTAGCATTCCTCTGTTATTTTAATAAGGTACGGACTTGACTAGGTTGAAAACAAGTGACAAATAAATAACTAATAATAAAAAGCATATTAATCAACCATTGATTGCTTTTTATACTTTCTAATGCTTTATTTTTTAAATTATAGCATACGGTGATGGCAATTGAAATTGACACCTTCATACACTACCAGTGGTATTATAAATGAGAAAGAAGAATTGAAATAGATAGCAAGAACCCTAACATTTATATGCCGATTTCTGACAATTTCATTTATGAAACATCATATTTATTTCACAACAGCTACATAACTTTTTCTGTGTGTTAGGTCCTATTCTAAGTACTTTAAAAAGAATATCTTATATTATGGCTGTAAATCCAATTGTATTTGAATCCCAGAGAGGCTAAGTAACTTGCTCAAAGTTACAGCTTGTAAACATAGGCAGTCAGGCATTCAAACCACAGCAGAGTGGTGTGGTTTTAACCAGTATGCTATGAGAAAATAACTAAAGAAAAGCAAAATATCATATCATGAAGATATTTTTTTAGCATTGCCTATTATTAATTTAAAAAGCTAGAATTTTTCATTTATATTCAACAGTTGGCTAGTGGGTATTAAATTGATTGAACTTCTTATGTGTCTTATGTATTTTACATCCCTCACTCCATCTTGCATGTATTCTAAGTTCTAAAACAATGTTGGTTAATTTATAAGTAAATCTCTTTGGGATAAGATCCATGGAGGGTAAGTTTCTCCTTTCAGCTACTGTATAGATTTTACAGTGTTTATAGATCATGTATCCACTTTCTTTTAATGTGTTTTTGTTTTTCTCTCCTCCTCTATTAATGCCTCATATAATTTCTTTATATCTACCTTTCAGGTATCAGCCTGGTGGACGATATCTCTCGATGTCTCGCAGCAAAATATTTGATGATGTCTAAAGTATGAAAGAATTTATGTTACAGTTATCTGAGGTCAACACATCAGTTCAGTCTTTATGAACATCTGTATGCCCTAAAATTTACTCTGTGCTCTGGATAAAAAGTGTCAGGATAACAAACAAGGCATGGATAATTAAATACATCCTAGTAATAATTGTTTGTCTATTGTTCATTGAATAGAATATCATCTTTCTAATAGGATTTACCTTATTTTTATGCAAATAACGCACACCTTCTGTGTTTGTTTTCCAGCCACACCCTCCCCCCCACCACGAGGCACCCTCACAAGCACCTCCATGCCAATCCTCCACCACGGTGTTGTTGTAAAAAAAAAAATTAGCATACTGCGCTTACAAAAAATACCTCACAGGGGGAGGCTGCAGCCAGCAAACAATCACAGAAGGCATGCATTATTTGCGTAAAAATATGGTGTTACATACCATTCCTTAAATATCTGCCTTAGAAGTACAGTTACCCTGGAGGGATTTAATTCATGATGAAGATCCGTGTATGTTGAGAACATGTAATTTAGTTTGGTTTAGATTAACTTTTTTCAGGAAAGTCATTTTTTTTTAAGGTCCAAGGAAGCTGTAAATCATAACTGTAGTTTTCTAATGATTTACATTTTTGTCATTTCTAAAGAAGATGTTAAAACTGTATTTCCCAAAGAGCTATAAGTGAATAAAGACCTCAAATAATAGTCATATTCACAAAATCCCTGTCTTAAAACAAGACTTACTTACCGGTCATAACAATGTAAAAAGCTCTTTTTCAACTCTGTAGGCAAATTAGTGAGGTTTTTGCATGTATAATTAAAATTATCCTTCAACTGCTAGTGTTAATATCTTTAGCATGTATAGAATAATCAGGTGACGTATTTTTTTTCAGTCTTTGGTAGTAACTGGAAATTTTTTTACACTTTTGGTATTGCTTTGTAAAAGATTTTATTTCAGAGAGAAATGTTCACCTTTGTCATTTAACATATTAATTTAAGGTTTGATCATTCAAGGAAAATCCAAAGCATTATTAGTAAATAATTGTTTTTGTTTTAATAGCCAAAGAGTCCCACAAAATTCCCTAATTTTTAAAGGTGCCTATTGATGTTTTTATAAAAAGAACATCTGATTATACAACGGGAAAAAGTGAATCCATTTACTGCTGTTACTAACCCTTAAATTGTGATTAATAGAAAGCAGAAAACTAAATTAGAATGGAAATGTGTTAAAATAACTTGTTGGTTAAACATGCTTAATATTTAAATTGATTTTTTTAAACCTCTGTGTTTAAGCCAAAGTCAGGTATTGTATTTTAAAGCACCAGTGTTTTATTGCAAAGTGAACATGGTTGAGTGCAACATGCTTGCAGAAAGTCTTTATCTCCCTGAAATATTTGCAAATTTTATAGGATCCATAATATATTGGTGACTATATTTGAGCTTGTTCAAGACAGTCCCAGTTTAACACCTATTATCGTACATAATTATTAATAGTGCTCATTTTCACTCTCAACTGTTCCAGTTTGAAGATAGACTACATGGTCACCCTAATAATATGATTGTGTGTTTGTTAAAGGTGATCTTTCTCTGAATCATAAATTTGAAATTTTTATTTTCTTCTTTAATTAGTGTCCTCATGTAATTTTTGTAAAGATACAGTTCCATACAGGTAGTAAAAAGAATAGTGTCATCCTTCTTATCTGATTTTCTTCAGTTTTTATGATCTTTGAGATTTAGATCCCCTTTAAAATAATCATCAATGAAGATTTACTCTCTGAGCCCAAGGTTGTAGAGACTGTTCATTTGAATACACACACACAGCCTTTTATTGTAAAGTGTGGTCAGAAAGCAATAGGCCAGGAGCAGAGATAATGTAATACTGTTTGTAACCTCATGATTGACTCATTGAATACCTTGGGCAAATCATATAACCTTTCAGTGCCTCAGTTTCTTTGTTTGCAAAATGAAGGTGATACTTGGTATCTACCTATTGATCTACCTCACAAAGCTATTGTGAGGGTACTGAGTTTATATACTAGCATTGGGAAAAAAAAAGTCATTAGTCATGCTATTTATACTAGTGGTACTTAAAGGTGTTAGATGCAAAAATGATCATAATAAGGCCTGGTTCCTTATTATTAAAAAGAAACTTACAAGTCCCCAAAGCAAAAACTCTGTTTGAAACAATTCATCAAAATTCCTGTGAAAATAGTGTTGTTTCTCATAAGATTTCATCATGAGATTCAGATGCTGTTGTAGAAGTAGGAGCACGAAAAGGGAAGAAATAATCCAATTACTTTTATGACTGATTTTTATAACACTCTAAGACAAATTGATAGGAATGTATAAGGGAACATTACTACTTTCCTTTATTATTAAGTTTTTATGATTGTAATAAATGAAGTATATATATACCTTCACAAACAGTATAAATCCTTATATGACTTTTGAGTTATTTCCAAAATAAGTTTTAGTTGTTTCAGTGATCCAGAACATTCAGCCTTTAAGCAGAGTTTGTCTTATAGGATTTTATATACAAATCATTTAGGAAGGTTGCCTTGCTCATTCTCTAATAGTAGACTACTCTTTGAGAGGTTAATTATCGATCTTTTAGAGGTTAGTAGTATGTCTGAATTCAGAAGGCAGTCATTTAACCCCTGAAAATGAAGAGTTTATTGCTGGAAAACTGAGTTAACATTTATTAAGCCTGATTGTGTCAAAAACCAAAACAAACAAAAAAACTGTAGTAGGTACATTCTGATTTGAAAAGCTTATAAAAATTTAATGATATTTATTATAAAACATTACTAAATTCATATACTTTACATGCAAAGTACAGTTCTTGAAGAACTAGTTCTGGCACTTTTTGATGTCTTTTTAAATCTAATAATTAACTGATTAGAGTTTTGTAAATTATTTTTTAAATAATTGTTAGATAAGAATATTCAGTAAGCTGGTAATTCACAATAACCACTGCAAAAAGTAATAATAATCTATAAATTTCATGACTCACCAGTAAATTGCTAATTACTATATCAGTAACTTGTTATTATCAATGGAGCGTTTTTGTAAAAAAAAAAAAAAAAAATCCTAAAGTACAAAATAAAGTATAAGCCTATTATTATAATTTGCTCTTACCAAATGAATACAAGGGCCTCGGAATAATTTTATCATACATGAGCCCCACACTTCACAGAAGTGGTAAGAGCTAAATCAAAACATTTAAGGGCTTTCCCTTTATAAAGAATAGATGAAAGAATTTGACAATCCAAACCTTCAAAAAGTTACCAGTTGATTTGTTCTTGGATCATATGTAACTATACCATTTGACTGAATTATCAGTTCTGAAATCTAAATTGGATCTATACTCAAATGTGGATAGGAAAGTCAGTTGTTTTTTAGTATAGTATAGCATATTAATGAAGGAATTTCATTTATCTGCAATAGTAAATCTGATTGTTTATACCTTTAATAGGTTTAAGGAATGTTCTTGATGGTTATTGATTATGATATTAAAGGAAAAACAAACTCTCTACAATTGTAATTCATGCTGTACAGTAATGTGAGTTTGTTGTACTTATGATTTGAGTGGGCCAGGCCTGAAAATTGCAAGGTTAAATACATTTGCACTACAAGGCAAAACATGGCCCTGAAAAATCTTAACACACTTGAATTTCCAAAACTGTAATGCATTGTATTATATTAAGTTCTAAATGTTAAGAAGTAAACAGATTTGGGGTTTTTGTCTTTCTTCCTCCCTGCCTCACTCCTTTCATACCATCCTTCCTCTCTGAGCCCTCTCTTTAGTGTGACTTTTAATGTGCTGACAGATTTGTCTTCCATTTGTTTTGTGTACACAGTTGTTTTAGGTGATCAGTATACTTAAAAGGAACTAGTTTTGACTACAGATCCCACTACTTGAAATAGCAGTTTGCACCTGAAGTAGTGAAACAGATTTTGCTTACAACTAAGCTGCATCTGAATGTAAATGTGAAATATGCTGGCTCAGAGTATTGTCTTTTAGGTCACTTAGGAGGGCACTTCAGTAAAATTAATTCTTTTCAGTGTAATGTTTTGGGATAAAAATAGATTTACAAAATAAAAAGTGATTGTTAAAAAATAAATAAAGGCATTAACTTTGAGATTTCATTTTATGAAGAGGAGTTCTAATAACATATGTAGTTGTCAGAATTTTCCTTAGGAGAGGTTGGAACAATACAAGAGGGTTACAGGAAGCCTTCTAAAATATGAATTCCCTCCGTGTAGGGTGGTGTTCCTTTCCACCTCAGTGACTTTTTCTTGCCCAGAGGCTTGGAAGATCAGGCAGTATTACCCTTTTCCCAAATCCTGGAGATCAGGCCCTGTGAGCCATCTCCCCTGGCAGACCAGGCTCAGGCCACATCCTCCAGCAACCCCTGCTCAGCAGTGAGAACATGCTCTCACCCCTAATTTTTTTCATTTCAGCCTGGATTTCCTAAAAGTTTTATTTCCATTTTCAAAAGATAGGTTCACTGAGGCCTCACTGTAATTTTAAATTTCTTAGACTTTGTTGGTGAAACAAGAATATTAGCATGTTCCTTGCTTTTAACACATTCCTTGGGGAAACTTGAAAATCTTTTCTTTTATGATTATCTTGATCTCATCTCTTTTGTAAAAGAATTTTACTGTACTAAGTGCAAGAGTAGAAAGAGTGGCTTACTATGGCAAACATACATAAAATAATTGACTGTACAACACCATTTAGAGTCAGTATTGTTGACGTAAATCTTATCCACCTAGTCACTTAAAGTGTTGTATTTCTCAAAAGAATGCTGGCTAGCATCTTCCCTACTTAATACACTAAGTTGTAGGGGAGAGACAATGTATTTATTTTTTTAAAAGCAATCCAATGGATTTGTTTTGTTCATATTTTGAAAACAACTTGAAGGATTTTTCTCATTTTAGAAGGTAGAAAATATGTGGACTTACCTTTTAAATTACTGTAATATATATTTATAAATTATAGCATTGAAAAGGACAAAAATACTCTAATATTGATGTTATTACTTCCTGGTATTTAATTTTTATAGAATGTTTTCATAAGTAACTAATTGTAGTATTGCTTTTAAGTAGTTTTTTAAGACTTTCTCAAATAAGTTCTGCCCAGAACCTTTTTCCTTAGGGTAATATTCTAAAGCTCAGTTAATCCAGTGTGAATTTGAAAAACTCCTACATCTCTTCAGTATCCTTTATATGTACCAGTACCCAAGCAAAGTATACCAAAAGCGTAATTTCTGCATCTCATTAGTAAAGTACTTGTTTATCTAATTCAGTGGACTAAGTAAAGTAGAAGATAAGTCTTTTCAAATGTGCATCTGATCATAATTTTTCAAAAGGTTAATTGTGTTCAATTTTGGTGTGTGATGCCAAATGTATCTTTAATCAGCCATTACTACCTGATATTTAGTGACAAATGTTTTCCCATCTGACCAGTGAGTTGAAAAGTTAATCAGTTTTCTTTCAGATTCTCTCTACATTTTCAAATATGTATTTAGAAAAGGCTGCAAAGTGCTACCTGTTAGTAAGTTAGCATCTATGGCCTTATCTGTGCATAATGTTCTTTCAGTTTGGTTTTGACAAACTAAACTCATTGACTTGCAGTTGCTTTATACTATTTTAACTTATTGTTGGTGTAATGAATTTTTTGAAATGTTTATTTGATTAGCTGTTAAAAATGTAGAAATTTATGTAGTTTTGCATGAAATAAAGTACATTTCTACAAGTTACTAAGAATTTTGCTAATTATTTATGCATTCATAGTATCTTTGAGGTTAAAATCTTTTACATAGATTTGGACATTTTTTTTTTTACAAATTTATTAACAAACATTACAAAAGCAATGTTTTAAGAGAAATAATTAAATATATGTACTTTACTTAATGTTCTTAATGTTCCACATTATTTTATCTTGTACTATAATTATTATAGTTAAAATTAAAGTAATTTTAGTAATACTAAAACCAGATTTAGGCAAACCGGACTATTAACTTCTGTACATATTCTTTTGCATCTACTCTTTGAGAATGGTATAATTAGAAATGAAGAGAACTGTCAAAATTACTAGATACTCAAACCATAACGTTCTAGAAAAAAGTAACTTTTTTTTTTTTTGGCTAGGCTTCATGGCCAGAAAAAGTCCTGTGGCAGAAGTAGTAAAAGTGAGGAGAAAATATCACTACCCTTTGACCTTTACCTAGCTTTCAAAACAACATAGCTTTCTTGTCTTCAAGAAATAAGAATAAGGTTATTTCCATAGTGAAGGTAGCCTACTTAAAATCCTGGAAATAGATCAACTTTCTAACACACACTTAAATAGCTAAAGATACTGTGTGGCCTAATTAACCAAGTGTGAGTCTAAGAAATTTGAAAAACCTAGATTCTTCACTCCTACACTGTCAGGTTGTTTTCTGAACAAATAATAATAAATGAATAAAAGAAGAAGTTTTTGAGCTCAATCTGTTTGACATATCTCCTCCTGCTAAGGAAAAATATACCACTTTGATTATGTTTGGAGATAGTCCTAGCCAAAGCCCAGTAAATGTTTGTCAACATCCAGTAAGTAATAAATAACTTAGTACTGTGAGTTTTAAGGACTGTGGGGACAATACATGTGAATAGGCTATGTCCTTCTAGAGCAGAGACAATGTCTAATTCATCTATATCTCTTGCCCCTCCTTTTATAAAGCCCATATGCCATAGATTTCACATCTTGAAGGGACAACACTGCCCTATCCTGTATAGCCCTGTGTTGGGTTTACAGGGAACTTGACCTCACAAGTTAATTTTGATGAAGGTATTTACTGAAACATTTAATTTTCAAAATTATTGTGAAGGCTGCAGACAAATGTTTCAAGTTTTTGTAGTCTAAACTAGCATGAAGCCCAGATACAGTTTTTTTGAGGGGGCTTTACTGTAATCTTTTGTTTTTAAATTTATTGTGTCTTAGGCGAACGTTTACACAGCAAATTAGGTTTCCGTTTAACAATTTTTATACAGATTGTTTTGTGACGTTGGTTACAATTCCCAGATACAGTTTTTATCTGTGTGGAACTGTTAGTAAGTGATTACAGCGGTGTTTAGCTATTTTAATTCAGTATGTTTTCAATTACCAAGTATATATTTTTTTGTTCTGGGTCAGAGATTTTATAAGAATTATAGGAATTAAAACTCTTTTTACAAATACAGTAGGTTCTCTCTGTGAAACATGGATCTATCAAAACATGGATATTCAAAGGTCTTAACTCTGAGGAATTTCACTCCTGTGCCTCTCTTTGGGTGTTGTCAATAAGAATAACTGAATAAAGCACAAGTCTGTAGATCAGTCTGAAAGTTTCCACTGCTCTGCCTGACCTCAACCCAAGTGGGGAGGACTACAGTATCTTCTACCAAACCAGTTTAGGTCTGGGCTTTCTGGAACTACATTGAACATTCCACTCAACTTTGCAGAATAAGAAGCTGCGAACAGGGGCAGATTTCCCAATAAGCAAGGTAAGCATGGGCTTACTTGCGCTTACTTACTAATCTGTAGTGAACAATTTCACATTTTTTTCACCTCATCAAAGATTCTGCTTCTGGCTATGGCTGGCATCTGTCTCTTTGCCAACCCCACAGCACCTTCCTACAGAATCAAAGTCTCTTTTCAGATTCACAGTCCCTGACGGGTGGATTACCCAGTAAGCAAGGTAAGCATGACCTTACTTGTGCTTACTTACTAATCTGTAGTGAACAGTGATGAAAACCATGTGAAACTGTTCAGTACAGATTAGTAAGTGAGCACAAGTAAGGCCATGGGTAATCGGCCCCTGGCTGCAAAGAAACATAAATATTGCCTGTCGGGTGTGTGTGTGTGTGTGTGTATGTGTGTGTAAAGTCATCCAGATAGAACTGTACCTCCACATCTGGCTGGCTAGTCTACTTAGCATGAAGAGGGTTTTACTTCCCTCTGAGAAAGCAAGCAAGAGTTATCTATAATGATGGGACTGGAAAAAACATTTCCTTCTCTCTCCTGTTATTCTGACAATTATTAACTTAAGGACATTTGCCTTTGGGTACTTTTTTGCCAGCCTCG